GAAGAAATATTGTGGTACATACTGTATTTACAAATAAAAAAAATGGAATATTATAAGAATATAGGTTGTGTTTAATTAGATTTAGATTAGGAAAAAAATGCAAAGATAGAGAACAGAAGAGAAGATTGGGCAAATAATTTTATGTTGTTTGGTGCATATAACATTGTCCAAACTGGAAAATGTGGATGGAATAATTTTGTTTGTCATCATGACAGGCTCAGCGCGGCTCCATTCAGCAGGATGAACTCTCCCCACAAGAGAAACAAGCTCTCCAGGGAGAGGAGCAGCAACAGAAAATCACCACATACGAGGAGGCATTCAGGAGGATCAAGGAAGCCACTGGTGTATCCGACACTATGGTAACGATTATATATCTTCTTAAAAGCAGGGCAGTTTTTCCTTTAAAATTTTGATATTACTTACATGAATAAATTAAATTTATAGAAACCATGGCATATATATTCCCTTAAGTTATTTCAGCATTAGGAGCTGCAAAAGGAATATGTGGTAAATGGTAGGTATGCTTCTTACAAGAGTTTAAAGCTTTTAAGAGGTGTGGTCACTTTGTTTTTAGGAAGTGGTCAGGCGATTTGAGGGACAAGATGAAACCACTAAACATCTGGAGGCATTACAAAAGGATAATGATAAACTGATCACACGTCTGAAGGAAGAAAAAGATAAATTACAGGCTGAGTTTGAGGACATGAAGTACACAGGCGATGCTAAACTCTCAAGGTTCTTATTCATTCATTGAAAATCTCAACAATATAAGTACAGTTTAATAAATTATCTCATTTAATATGTATGAGGGCCTAAGCTGACAGAGTACTGTAAATGTAAATCATTTATTTCAACTCTGAATAATAAACACTATATGGTCTAATATGGAAGACAGATAAATTGAGATTGAAAATCAGTTTTATGGTGATACACTGTAAAAGTTATTTAGAATCTATAGAATGTGATTTCTACTGAATTCTCTTCTGTGTAGTGGCCAAAGGAAGCTTTAGGAATTCCAGAATCATCGAAACACTGATTATTACTGTATTATTTCTCTTTTATGTAGTGGCCAGAGGATGCTTGAGGAATTCCAGAATCACCTACAGAAGGAAGAGGACAGAAGGTCTACTGCTGAGGATCATCTCAATAGAAACAGTCACATCATGGTATCCGTAAAGGCAGGAGTGGAGCACCTGTCTGACAAACTTCATCACCTCAAAGCTGTAAGTTATATATCACCTCAAAGCTGTAAGTTATATATATCACCTCAAAGCTGTAAGTTATACATCAACTCAAAGCTGAAAGTTATACATCACCTCAAAGCTGTAAGTTATATATCACCTCAAAGCTGTAAGTTATATATATCACCTCAAAGCTGTAAGTTATACATCAACTCAAAGCTGTAAGTTATATATCACCTCAAAGCTGTAAGTTATACATCAACTCAAAGCTGTAAATTAGATCACCTCAAAGCTGTAAGTTATATCACCTCACAGCTGTAAGTTATACATCACCTCAAAGATGTAAGTTATATATCACCACAAAGCTGTAAGTTATATATCATCTCAAAGCAGTTAGTTATACATCAACTCAAAGCTGTAAGTTATATCACCTCACAGTTGTAAGTAATCACCTCAAAGCTGTTAGTTAGATCACCTCAAAGCTGTAAGTTATATATCACCTCAAAGCTGTAAGTTATCACCTCAAAGCTTTCAGTTATACATCAACTCAAAGCTTTCAGTTATACATCAACTCAAAGCTACATCACCTAAAAGCTGTAAGTTATCTACACATCACCTCAAAGCTGTAAGCTATATATCGCCTTGAGCTTAAGATATATATCAGCTCAAAACTGTAAGCTATCTATATATTCACTTGAAACTTGTCATCTATATGTCACCTCAAAGCTGTAAGTTATTCATATACATAGCACCTCAAAGCTATAAGTTATCCATGTGTCACCTCAAAACTAGAAGTTAATTATCTAGTTAAGATATATTTTTTTAAATGGTACATCTGTTTATTAACAAGGTTTTTATTTCTTTTTCACCCTCTTACTTTTGCGATTCAGAGTAAAGGACATGTTCCCACTGCACAAATTGCTCCAACCTCAGATGAATATGTACTGGATCAGCTTTCTACATGTGAGGAGAAACTGCTGAAATTATTGGAGGAACTGGATGGCAAAGATCTCCAGGACACAATGAAACAAATGGAGGAGGAAGAGGTAGGCTATTTATATCAGGCAGTCATTAACTAAAATAGAGGAGGACATACTGTGTATTCTATTTAGCAATACGGCTTAAATCACATCAAACAATAGAGATTGTAAGGAAGATTCTGGCTATTGAAAATGGTTAAAAATTGAAAAATAAAAAAAGTAAACTTTGTCACAATGTCAAATACTGTGATTTTTTAATTATTTTGATAAAATTTTTCGCTGAAAATTACAAATGAAGCCAGCATCCATTAACATGTTTGTATTGTTTTGTAGTTCCATGCCAGTGTAGAAGGAAAACTGCCACAGTATAACACAAGGATCAAACTCCCCACCACCCAGAGGGATATGGTTTATGATGGTAAGGGAAATAATTCATTTGATGAACAAGTGATCTATTATAATATATATATGTAAACTAACTAATGACTTTGTTTGAATTTCGATTTTCTAATTTAACAGATAAGTTTTTTCTTGTAAGAATATGCTTTCACTTTATATGGAGTGCGTAAGTGGTGTCACAAACATGAATGTGAAAATAATTGATCCTGAATCAATTATCCATTGTCATACTCACAGAAGATTGTTTACTTTTACAATTGCATGTATATGATACAATGTACCATCATTTTAGATTCAAATAGATGTCATGAAATGGCAATGCTTATTCAAAAAGGTTATTTGTTTCGTATAAGAGTGCTCATAAAAAGTTAAAGCGTGTAGGATTTCATGATCTACCTATAACAAGTATATAATTTATCAGGTTAAATATCTTCCAGAATATAACTGTAAAATTTAATATGATCACTTGAAAAATAATTAATTGACATTCTAATATCCGAGTTTTGTTTGCATTTAAATTTATTTTGAATTTAATCACACACAAGAATCTTTAATACAATTTAAATTGTTTTATTTGATGAACACTGATATCACTGCATGATCAGAATTAAGGGGAGACTACTACTGTTCTCCACTGAGTGCATATGTCCTACTGCATGTTTCACATTCACATACATCAGAGAATCACTGTATGTTTACAAGTTACTCCATGAACATTTTAAATGAATTGGCATAAGTAAGTAAATATAGGCCCACCACATGTGAAATATTTATTTTTTCAAAATGCCATAATCCAATGGCATGTGTATATGCTCTAAATGTAACATGTTTAAGATGCTGATGATTGTTTGACATTTTATCAATGCTGATGATTAGTTTGAGAATTTTGCTGACACTGTCTAAGAATTGATTAATTTTATGATGTTGATGATGATTTTTCAGATGACGAGGACAGTGGTGATGATGATACTGATGTTCCAAATCGTAATGCAATTAAGAAACAATCACAGTTTATTGTGGACTCTAAAACTAAACGGCGCACCACCAAGAAAAAGAAAAAGACAAAATAAAACGGCACACCACCAAGAAAAAGACAAAATAATAATAAAAGACATTGTGACTTGACAGAGAGATTATCAATTCATGAACCATCTGTTTTCTCACCAGTTATTATTGAAAGATGATATATATATATATTTATTCCATCAACTAAATTCTGGTATTTAAATTGTTATTTCACTTGAAACATGAGAAACACATATCTTGAAAAAGGTGTAAAAGATTTTGTATGTGATCATGTTGTAATTTATAATTAAATGTTAATGGCTGTATCTATTTCAGAAATGTATTTTAATTTACTTGTTCTGTTTTGGTATTTATGAAAACAAAATTAAAATGTAAATGCTTAAAATTAAATATATATTAGTGTTTCATTTTATTTAGGTGGCCAATATTATGTTTTTGTCTATAATGCATTCCTTGTCCGTTGGTCTTTTGAATATTTTCAGCTTCGTTTTTGTAACTGCTCGATCATCTGTAACCATTTTAATGACATAGAATCTTTGAGACAAAGCCATGGTTTTCCTCCTACATCCTTACCCCGCCTCAGTATTTAATGCCTTCTTACAATGTTCATGATAATTATAATGAAGAATTGTAGTAAACGTTAAATAATAATATTCCCACTTAATAACCCTAAACATCCATCAGACAAGCTTGTTACACTGAGCAATGAGCCCACCCCTCCAATCATTGCTGAAACATTAAATTTGCATTTCTCTGTTAATATTGAACTAGCTTCAACACCTTGTCTTTTTATGAATTTTGAATTAAAACAAGAATCTGTGACTTCCTGACCAGTGATTCTCAAAATAACGTTGAATCACTGCTGTGACAGTACATTATAATAGTAGGTTCCTGACCTTGACTTGCTAATGTGACAGTACATCACAACAGTAGGTTCCTGAAGTTGAATCACTGCTGTGACAGTACATTATAATAGTAGGTTCCTGACCTTGACTCGCTAATGTGACAGTACATCACAACAGTAGGTTCCTGAAGTTGAATCACTGCTGTACAGTACATTACAATAGTATGTTCCTGACCTTGACTCACTACTGTGACAGTACATCACAACAGTAGGTTCCCGAAGTTGAATCACTGCTGTACAGTACATTACAATAGTATGTTCCTGACCTTGAATCACTACTGTACAGTACATAGTAGGTTCCTGTCTTTGAATCACTGCTGTACAGTACATTACAATAGCTGGTTCCTGACCTTGAATCACTGCTGTGACAGTACAATACAATAGTAGGTTCCTGACTTCAGGATTCAGACCTAAGTATTCAAATTTTTAAATACCACCAAGGACTTCGAAATACTAGATGCAGTATATGTTGCATTTAACAATACATTGTACAGAAAATAAACATCTTACAGTTAATCAATTTATTAATTTAGTATCATGGAAAAAATATCACATAAAATCCTTGTAATACATACATGTATGTATATGTATAAACTAAAGCATAAATAACTTCATAACAAGCCATCACTCCATCTTATAATTCAGAATCCATTTCTATCTTATCAACAGTTCATGTGTCACAAAAACTAAGCAGAGGCTGAAAGCCCAGTCTGCTACGTTTTGCTTTACAGAAAAATGATTCTCATAAACTTTACATCCAGACCCATAATGAGCATACCGTTTACTAAGCAGGTATACTCGCTAGAGCATTTTGACACATCTTAAATTAACTTAAGAAACTGACAAGAAAAGTCTGTATACTCCTAACATTAAAAAAAGGGAAGACTTACTATTGAACTGAAGTTTACTTTTTTTAATTCAAGTTCAAATCTTGGTTTAAGCAGCAATATTTAAAATGAAAATTATTTTATAAAATTATATCCCCAGGATAAGATTTTCTTTTAGACATTAAACCAGTGCTGCCTTGTAGACAAGAAAATATCTGATAATCTCAGGTAGGGAAGCAGATTATTCTTCTATTTAGCAAGTCATCTAGCATTGGGAGATTTTCTTCTGTTTGCGACACACGTCTCATTTTTCTACTTAGCAAGTGATCTAGCATTGGGAGATTTTCTGTTTGCGACACACACTACAATATAATTTTTTGTAAAAAACATATTCCATATTACTTACAAAATATGGTCAACAAACAGAAATCCAGATCAAATTTGCTTGTTATCTGCGTGTTGTGTTTTTTTAACAAATTAATCAAATAAGTACACTGTGTGTCTGTGTTTTAAAAAAAAATAATCAAATTATAAGTCTCCTAATAAAGTCTATCTCTCTAAATTCTCAGTATTGGGGCCAACTTTAAAGGATAAAGCATTTCTTATAACCAAAGATTGGGGTTCATGAAAGTGAATTTATTTTATTCAAGCTGATGGCAAGCAATGATAAAATGGACTCGGAAAAGACATACTGCATTTAAGTTTAAAATATATAAAAACTGAAATCTCTTTAGTTTGTAATCAACAAACAATTATAATAAATATGCAAGATCTTGAGACATAACAAAAGTGAGAAGACACAGGAAAAAAAAGACCACACAAGTATCCTTGACCCTACAATAAATTGCACAATGTCATAGCATAAAAATGATTTTTAAAAAAATGAAACACTAACCTGTCATAGCAGCTAATATTTTACAAGAAAAAGGAGAAATGAACAAATACATGTCCACAATGAAAATGTTGGCTGGAGCAGAACTTGCATTATATAGTCAGGTGCTCTAACCACTACATGCCAACAGTCATGAAATTTCCATGTACAGGCTGATGTAAGGAAATTTTTTGAGGTGTTAAAAGTTATGGACAGACAAAAAAGAAACACAATTTCTCCAATAATTCATTATGATCAATCTGTTTTTCTTATTTCCCCCAAAATAATCTCAGTGTAGGAGGTGTGGCAAAATTACCCTTATAAAATTTTCTTTATTTACAGAAAGCATGCAGATTCAGTCAAGAAATGGATTGGAACCACTTTCGCACACATAACACTAATTAAAAAAACAAACAAAAAAACCAACATAAATTCATGGGTAAAGCTGACTTTAAGAGATGTTAAACAATTAATTACAATTATCAAGCCTTGCTCATTATTTCTACTTAGCTAGTAAAATAAATAATGCATTTAGTCTGTTTTTAGACTGTGTTTTAACACAATATAATTCAATACTGTTAAGCTAATATGGAATCTATTTCCTGATATGTGTAGAATCACACAAAATAAAACAGGCACTAAAAGACCCGAGACACAAGCTATGCCACGTGTTTCCATTAGAGTCTTTTGCACAGTGTCTATATATGTAAATAGTGCCAACAGCAATGTCTCTAGACAGACTCATACATCGTACATTGCCTTACAAAATAACGTAGTCATTTAGGTGTATATATCATCGATATGTCTATAAAGACTCGTACCCCCCACCATCATTCAGGAATGCCTCCAGTTCATTTCGATTTTCCTCTTCCTCTGTCATTTCTTTCTTCTTTTTCTTCTTTTTTTCCTTCTTTTTTAAATCCCCTGCTCCTTTCTCGGAAGTTTTCTCTTTTTTACCACCCTCTTTCTCTTGGGAAGACTTCTTCTTTTTTGCTCCTGTCTCATCCTATTGGAAATATGAAATTAAACTTAAGTACAAAGATATAAACTGTAAACCAACTATTATTCGCGTCATCTTTTATTTGCGATTCGTCAGTGTAAAATCAATAAAAAGGATGATTAATTTCTGTGACTCGGGAAACATTCTCTACAAATACATAGTAAAATAAATGGTTCCCAGCAATTAATATTCGTGAGTAAATGTAGGTCGCGAAACTCGCAAATATTTCTTGCACACGAATAAAAGTTGGTTTACAGTAGTCTGAATATTAAGTAGGGCTTAAAGTTACTTTAGAATCAACCAGATCCAAAAACATATGCATCCATTTGATCACTCAATCAGAGAAATAAAGATAACTTACAATCACACCAATGTAGGCCCTTATCAACCCCTTGAGTCCCGTAACTTACAGCAATTCCATATGATATGCCTCATCAAACACAAAACCAATAACTTGTCTCCCTCATAAAACATGAAGAAGAGGAGTTATATTGATAAGACAGTGACGGACTGGGGTGACCAGAGGTACTGTGAGCAATCTAACAAACTAATATTCTCTGCTACAAATTTTTGAAATTGTTGGTAGAATTTTTTTTAAATTGAAATAGTGGATTAATATTTTGTATGGCATTCTATTTTCATATCAGTGACCTTACTTGTTCAAATGACCTTGGGTCAAGATTAAGACACAATCCCAGAGATATAAGCAATCTTTATGTTAAACATGGTATTCCAATGTTTTTCTGTTAAAATTATGGGGGAAGGGGGCAAGAATTCAACAGATTTTCTCAACCAGTGGCCTTGAACTTGCTCAAATGACCTTGGAAAAAGGTCATGAAATAAACATCTGGGTTATCATCATGATATCTTTCATGATACAACATACAGATTTTGACACATATTATTATTCCTATTGGATCATATATACAGTAGACCTGTAAGAGTTAATAGTTTTATGCCAATTTAAATTCTTCAATTTTTCTGTAACTTTCACAAGACAAAATGAAATCAAAGGCATAAAACCTTAATCACAGCATGATTTTGACCATTTACAAAATACTAAAATTGAAATTGTCTTAACATATTAGAGAAATTCAAGGAAAGAGCAAAAAGAATTTCCTTATGCGATCAACAGTAATCAATCTTAGGATTTACTTGTTTAGGCAAAAAAAAATTTTTTTAGTTTCTCAGGCACATTGAAATTTTTGCTTGAGAAATAGAAAATTGAGTTACTGCAGTATTTCCCTATTCAATATGTGAATAAAATGATCAACATGACAATGTTTGACTCAATGTGGCAGTGCCTGAAAAACTAAAGATTAATTTTTTTGGCCTTACTTGTCAATTTCATTGAATACAATATATGCATGTCATGCAGTTGATGAGAATAAATAAAGGGAAGGTTAGAAACCAGTGATGGCAACCAATCTAGTTCCTACAAAGTTTCAAAACAAAGAAAACAACTCATTATACATGTTATAAGACAGTGATGACACATGATAAAGCAGTAATCAGAAAACCAGTGTAATCACCTTCTCTTTTTTCTTCTTTTTCTTCTTCTTCACCTCTCTTTGATCCTCCACTTCACTGACCATGACCTTTGACTTACTGGAAACTTTTTCTGAGATCAAAATAGAACAACATAGTCACATTTAATAGCTCATCCTGGTAGATAATTTTTCAAGAACAAATTACCTTCAAACTCGAAAAAAAAAAACTATTTTTGAACAGGAATTAAGGCACTTTTCTTGTCCTCATATAGTTAAAAAATTTTATGCTTGTATTGTATCTCTGATATGCCTCCAGTGGGACCATGATTGGCAAATGAATCTATTCTATATGGATTGTGTTCTATATTCTACAGGTGGGTACTTACTTGGCTTGGAATGACTAGAAATAATCTGAGGTTCTGGACTGGATGAGAGATCATCATCATTAATGCCTGCCTGAAATTATTCAGATCAAGATGAATATGAGAATTGCATCCAGGTGGACCTCCCCCCCCCTCCCCCCCCCCCCTGAAATTATAGGTACATCATCTACATTATATATAAATTATCAAACCCAACCCTGACAATTCCCTTCATAATAACATCTGACCAGGAATAACAGCTTTGTTATCTAATACATAATCTATTTATTACAATCCAACTGCCATCACCACTAACAGTGAACAAGTTATTTTCATGCTGAATTTAAATTATAATGCTTTACTAGGGAAATAATGTCAGCTTAATGAATCCCAATAATGGCAATTTTCTTCAAGAAAATAAAGTTTTCAAGGAGCTAAGGCTCAGATTAAAATATTTATGTTTTCATACTCCATCATGACTTACATGTAAAGCTAGATCCAGGTATCTTATTTTTGTGTCCCAGAAAAAGATTATTAGACTGACAATGTGAAATAATTTTTTTTTGCTCAGAAAAATTGCATTTTTTAAAAATGTCAATGCTGTCAATTCAGGTCTGAGAAAAACTTCCTTTCAAAATGTTTCTAAATACATGTACTTACAAGTACACATATTTACAATATTTAACCACAAGAGATACTGACTGTGACCTACTTACCTATAAATAGAAATTCTAACAGTGCATTATATCAGTTCTGCATAAATACTCACTAGCCTAAAGGTTAATATATATGGGGACTTTTACTGTTTGTAATGTTGGAGAGTTACTGATCTGTATGTACTGTTATCCAAAGTAAAAACTCAAGGTGTAACTCTAAGTACCTCTAGTTTGTATCAAAACAGGCATTACATAAATTTATTAATACTCTTCTGTTTATTAAAGAAAAAAATAACCATCTTTAAAATGGAGGGCAGTACATACAGTTAAAAGAAGGGAATTCTTTGAGTGCCTAGTGCTAAAGCTGATTGCTTACCCGATCATCTAAGTCATCCTAGAAAAGATACAGGGTCAACTGATGTGTTCTTATAATTCAATACAACATTTATAACTTTAGATGATAAGACAGCAGGTATTATGGGAGATACACATACCTTACTCTCGAGTTGATCCAGCCAATCAGAGAGGCCGGCCTGGTCTGTGGTCGTACTGACCACAAGCTCTTCCTCGCTGACGTCCTCGTCTGCCAAAATCACCACTGGAGTCTCCTCCTCTTCATCAGAGGAGACATGAACCGTGCCCTCTGTACAGGTGGGTTTTGTGACACTCGGGTCCTTAACAGGCATCCCCCGCCCATCACTGGAAGGAGACCCCTCCCTCGCTCCATCAGATATCACCTCTGTATCCTTGACATCAGCTTTCATTGTGTTACTTGATTGTTTGTTTGTTTCATCTGCAGAGTCCATATCTGGACTTGGAACTCTAAAATGTGTCACATCTGAGATTACATGAGAGTCAGGGTTTGGTTTATTTTTCACTGTTTCAGTATTTTTTTTAGTCTGTATGGAGAATTCATTGTCATTTTCATCACTTGACAGATCGTAGTCCTGAGCAACACTGATTTGTTGGGGAGTTGTATCTTCATCACTCTGTGAAATGTCCTCATTCTTTTTGATAGCAGGTCTTTTATCATCTTCAACACTAGAATGTCCTCCTGACTGGGCAGACATGATGCTTGGTTTCTCCTCATCACTAGATAGATCCAAATCCTCAGCTATCACCTGTTTTGATTGGCTGCTTGTGTAATCATCTTCTGAGTCAAGGTCATCCTGGAAGCCAGCCACCATTGGATTTCCCGTTGACTCCTCACTGAAAAAGAGTTCAATGATTTGAAATTTTGACAAGAGGCCTACTGGCCTTAATGGTCACTTGAGTATCAAGAGTTTAACAGCCTATGACTACTTTAGCCCCACCTGGAACTGGAACACTGGTCTCATGTGACACACATTTTACAGTTTGTTGAGGACTCTGTAATCATTATCTTATTCATGAAGCTAGATTCCTTAAAGTTTGGGGGTTAAGAAAATAAAGGTACAATGAATAATAAATTTCAATATATGACCAACTTTGCTCCACCCTGGACCTGATCCCTGGACTGAGGGTGGGGATGGGTAAGGGGGGGCATGAATGTTATAATTTTTGTTAAAAGCTAGTGCTCATTAACATAATGAAAACAATTGGCTTAATGGCTTTGTTTCTGAATCATTACAAAATTCAAATGCCTACTCTAATTTGACTTACAACTAGAAAAATTAATCCCCTTATATTATTTCATATGAATTTAAAATTAATCTTTACAGAATATCAATATAAATTTAATAAAATGATTCTTGTAAGAACAGTTTAGTACAGTAAGGCGTATCACTAATGCCACTTAAAAAACTGTACACAAAAGAATTAAATATGAGACCTGTCACTGTCTACTGTAGCCTCAGATTTCCCAGAATCCTTCACTTCCTTCATATCCTCCAGAAAGCTTTTGTCGATGACCCCTCCGTCTGGGATGAAATCCTCCACACTTGTCACAGGTTCTGTGGGAGGGGCTGGTACCTTGGAGTCCTCTGTCAAATCAAAGAATCAGGTCAATTAGGAATGTACACGTTTATCAATGTTACAGTTAATCATTTTAATAAAATATTTTTTAATACATGTACTCTGTAGTTATTTTTTGTTACTACAGCGAAATTTCGCAAAATTCTCGTTCGGGGAGATAACTCCCGTTTGTTTACGATACTAGTTGATCGATGATTTAACCGCGGCAGGGACAGGTAGGTGATGAATTTCCCGCGGAGGGAACGCGGTTTACCTGTCTCACCTGGCCAAATCCCGCGTTGTGTTTATACTGCAACGGGGCGCGGGAAATACGGGATCCGCATTGCCTGTACTGTACATATACATTTAGAAATTGTACAGGTTTCAAACAATGTCCATTTTTCTGCAATTTTCTAAATATTATTTACTACTGACCAAATTCTGTTTTCTTCGTAGCTGCTGAGTCTTTACTTTTGAAGAGTCTTGAGAAGAAGCCTGACTTTTGTTCTTGCTGTTGATTGGTTGATTCTGATGGAGTGGGTGTGTCAGTTGGAATTGGTTGCCCCGCCCCTACTGGAGTGTTGCCAACAGAAGCCGATTCTTTTGGAGCAATGGTCGTCTTCTGGAGAGAAGGCATGGACAAGGACTTTGGCACTGTAAAAATTGATACATCGTTACATAATTTCATTATTAAGGCCATAATAAATAAATTCCTAGATTCTCATCCCCGCTTGCCCCAATTTTTTACCCCTGCCTCGATTTTTTTATTTCTGTTTTATTTCGTCTTGATTCTGATCGGGATTGGTATTAAACTAACATTCAACTTTTCATTTTAAATCCCCGGAATGTCGGCATGATCAAGATCAGGAAGATGGTAACTGCTGTAATATTATATGCATTAAACAAGGATCACTGGTTGTGAAAGATTGTTGATTATGTGTATTAAGAAATATGCATATTTTAATGGACCTCTACTGTGACTTTTATTCAGGCATTATAGATAAATCTGCAGCGCTTGATCAGGTAAAAAAAAAAATCTGCACAATGGATAAAAATAAAAATTATAAAATAAAATATGCCCACCCACCTTGATTTTTCAAAAAAAAAATTGGATGAGAATCTATGAAATTTTTTATTATGGCCTAAATAATATATAAACTGAAAAAGACCATACACTTTTATTTTTACCAGTTGAGTTGTCAATTTTATCTTAACTCTGATGTTTATTTTGACCAGTTGAGTTGTCAGTTTTATCTGAACTCTGAAGTGTATCTTTACCAGTTGAGTTGTCAGTTTTATCTGAACTTTGGACCACCTCCTGATGTAAGGTGGCTCCTTCTGTAACAGGTTTGGCAAGCTCCTCTTGCTGCTGTCTTCTTTTATTGCACACACTGTCGATAAATCTAAAAACATGATAAAATAAAATTATAAAACACTGTCATGAATCTAAAAGAGAGGATCAAAACTTTGTAAATGAACCTAGAAAAGATGATGCAATGAATTGCACTGAAACGACACATGATATGTCCATCAAATATTGTTTAATTTTTGTATACACATTAGAGTGCAAGGAAGAAAATCATGTCAAGTTCACTTTTTGCACAAAATGGCCCTGTCCTTATTTCAATTAATGAAATTAAGGTCCCATATGTAACATCAAATGAATATAAAGTAGAAACTTAGTGGATTCAACAGGCTTTGTGAAATTGCAATGTTCTTGAATTATGTAGAAAACAGGTGCATTTCAGAACAGCAAAGAATTAAAATATTTATAGACCTCTCCATCCCAAGAATAAAGCATAAGAAATTTTCAGGATAAGGGAAAAATGAGGCAATTCTTGATGTCATAATGCATGAACGAGTAAAAAATTACGTCATTTTCGATACATACACAGTCAACAAGGGTCCAAGTGTCAATGCTTTTTCTCCTATAGCGGAGCAGTTTTAATTTTTCAGATATTCACAGGGCCACAAAAGGCTCTAAGTGATCCTTGCTTTTTCAATGACTTTTCAATTCTTAATGTTTGATGTGCATCTTCTTTGGCATAGTTATTTATAAAATGAACTCAATTGGAACTTTTATTATGTTACACATCCTAACTCTGACTTACACATCCAAACTCTGACTTACACATCCTAACTCTGACTTACACATCCAAACTCTGACTTACACATTCTAACTCTGACTTACACATCCAAACTCTGACTTACACATTCTAACTCTGACTTACACATCCTAACTCTGACTTATATATCTTAACTTTGACTTACAGATAGTAACTCTGACTTTCACATCCTAACTCTAACTTACACATCCTAACTCTGACTTACACATCCTAACTTTGACTTACACATTCTAACTCTGACTTACACATCCTAACTCTGATTTACACATCCTAACTCTGACTTACACATTCTAACTCTGACTTACACATCCTAACTCTGACTTACACATCCTACCTCTGAATTACACATCATAATTCTGATTTACACATCGTTACTCTGACATACACATCATAACTTTGACTTATAGCTATAAATCATAATTTTTGACTTACACATCGTAACTCTGACTTACACATCATATATCTGATTTACACATCCTACCTCTGACTTACACATCGTAACTCTGACTTACACTTCCTAACTCTGACTTACACTTCCTAACTTTGACTTGCACATTCTAACTCTGTCTTACACATCCAACTCTGAATTACACATCCTAACTCTGAATTACACATTGTAACTGTGACTTACACATTCTAATGCCCTGTTCACACGGAGAGTTTAATTCGAATTAAACGTAAGTTGCTGCGAATTAAATTTGATCCGCATTCACACGGAGAATTTAATGCGAATTATTTTAATTCGAATTAGTTTACTGCGCATTTAATTACTTCGCATTAGCTCCGTGTGAACGCTAAGCGAAGCTAATTCGAATTAAATTTTGACGCATGCGTAATGACAAATTAAAGCTACATGCCATATGTCGGTGGTCAGATATAAGTATTTATGCTATTTTTTAGTGAAAAACAAAGGAAGATTATGTCAATCATTGAAATGTGTGCAGCCAATGTCAAATGGATCTGCTCCACATAAGGTGACGTGATTTGAAAATGATGTCATAATAGCCTCACTAAATAGCCCTACTGTATGAATAAAATTTTAATTCGCATTAGTTTACTTGGCATTAGCTGTCGTGTGAACGCAATTTAATTCGCAATAGTTTGATTCGCATTAGTTTACTTCGCATTAATTTACTGCGAATTAAACTCTCCATGTGAACAGGGCATAACTCTGACTTACACATCATAACTCTGACTTACACTTCCTAACTCTGACTTACACATCCTAACTCTGACTTACACTTCCTAACTCTGACTTACACATCCTAACTTTGACTTACACATCCTAACTCTGACTTACACATCCTAACTCTGATTTACACATCCTAACTCTGACTTACACATCCTAACTTTGACTTACATATTCTATCTCTGACTTACACATCGTAACTCTGACATACACATCCTAACTCTGACTTACACATCGTAACTCTGACTTACACATCCTAACTCTGACTTACACATCCTAACTCTGACTTACACATCCTAACTCTGACTTACACATCCTAACTCTGATTTACACATCCTAACTCTGACTTACACATCCTAACTTTGACTTACACATCCTAACTCTGACTTACACATCATAACTCTGACTTACACATCCTAACTCTGACTTACACATTCTAACTCTGACTTACACATCGTAACTCTGACTTACACATTCTAACTCTGACTTACACATCCTAACTCTGAATTACACATCCTACCTCTGAATTATACTTATAAAACGTAACTCTGACTTACACATCCTAACTCTGACTTACACATCCTAACTCTGACTTACACATCCTAACTCTGATTTACACATCCTAACTGTGACTTACACATCCTAACTTTGACTTACACATCCTAACTCTGACCTACACATCCTAACTCTGACTTACACATCATAATTCTGACTTACACATCCTAACTCTGACTTACACATTCTAACTCTGACTTACACATCATAACTCTGACTTACACATCCTAACTCTGACTTACACATCCTAACTCTGACTTACACATCCTAACTCTGACTTATACTTATAAAACGTAACTCTGACTTACACATCCTAACTCTGACTTACACATCCTAACTCTGACTTACACATCCTAACTCTGACTTACACATCCTAACTCTGACTTATACTTATAAAACGTAAGTCTGACTTACACATCCTAACTCTGACTTACACATCGTAACTTTGACTTCTACATCCTAACTCTGACTTACACATCCTAACTCTGACTTACACATCCTAACTCTGACTTATACATCCTAACTCTGACTTACACATCCTAACTCTGACTTACACATCCTAACTCTGACTTACACATCCTAACTCTGACTTACACATCGTAACTTTGACTTATACATCCTAACTCTGACTTACACATCCTAACTCTGACTTACACATCCTAACTCTGACTTATACTTATAAATCGTAACTCTGACTTACACATCCTAACTCTGACTTACACATCGTAACTTTGACTTATACATCCTAACTCTGACTTACAAATACTATACTTATAAAACGTAAGTCTGACTTACACATCGTAATTCTGTTCCTCTGACTCCTCGTGGATATCAAGTTCCTCTAAAGTGGATTCCATATCAAGTGCATTTATTTCCAGCTGCTTCATTAACGTTTCCCTCTGTAGAAAGTTTGGTTGATTGATTTATTTTGTACATGAAATAACTGACATGAAAATGAAAACAAGATCACAACAAGTAGAAATTCTCAGACTTACAACATCATAAAAATCCAGCACAGTGTACCCAGATTAACAATGTTAAGGTGAAAATCCAACTATTGATATTTACCATGTCATAAGCTAAAAATTGAGCTCAGAGTATTGAGAATCAAACTGTCATATGCTGAAATTTAAGCTCAGTGTATTAAGATTTCCCATGTTATAAGCTGAAAATCCAGCTCAATGTATGCTGGAGTGTTCATTTACAGTGCTCAATATGTGTTTTATTTACTTATTGTTTAGATAATCTTCATATAAAAATACTCTGTCTATCTCAATTTGATTTTTTCTGATATCTTTTGTAATCAGAAAAAATTAATAAATAAGACATAAAATCACTATTAAATCACTTAAAATGTTGGTATTACCAGAAATCCTGTATCAGTTTTGAATTACTGAACAGAGATTTTTTTTTTACCTGTAGAGTGAGAAATGGAAGGTTGAAGAATTTGTGGAGATACTTGAGACCAAAACCATTCCTCATAGATGACTCAGCATATCTTATGATGGCTGACCCCATAGGCCTGAAATACAGGAATATAAGTGATGACTCAGCATATCTATTAATGACTGACCCAATAGGCCTGAAATACAGGATATAGGTGATGAATCACTTTACCTTACAATGACTGACCCCAAAGGCCTGAACTACAGTAGTGATTCAGCATTCCTTACACAAACAGCAATACCTAAAATTCTTCCACAATTTCTAACAGTCCGATAATAAGTTTTCACTTTTAATAATAAGTCTGTGCAAAAATATCCAGCTTTGACTTCAAGGACAGTGCCCTATTAATAATTACCTTTCATAATGCATACAGAAATAGCGGGCTTTATCTTCCAGCACTGTGCGGTGATGTCCCATGTCTCGATGGTTTCCCAGCACAAGGACAGGAATGTGAACCGGGATTTTCTCCATTTCCTTTTCCACATAATTGAAAGTCCTATAAAACATGGTATTATTAAGCTTTTCAACAAAAAAACATTCAAATTTCATATCTACATTAAACTTTATTTATGACTTACATGTACCATTGTATTGTAGTCATCTCCAATATTTTCAGATGATTTACCATTGTACTGTGATAATGTTCCATTGTTTTGTGCTGACTAACCATTGTATTGTGATAATGTTCCATTGTTTTGCTAAGACTTCTGTTGTTTTAGATGACTTACCATTGTTTTGAGGTGACTTACCATTATTTTGAGGTGACTTACCATTGTTTTGAAGTGACTTACCATTGTTTTGTGCTGATTTACCATTGTATTGTGATAATGTTCCATTGTATTGTGATAATGTTCCATTGTTTTGTGATAATGTTCCATTGCTTTGTGATAATGTTCCATTGTTTTGCCAAGACTTCTGTTGTTTTAGATGAGATACTATTTTGTTGTTATCTCCACTGTTTTGAGGTGAATTACCTCTGCTTTTATTTCTGACTAGTCATTGCTGTTAATAACTGACCATTGTTTTAGATGACTTACCATTGTCTTGAGGTAACTATTATTTTCAGATTTTGGTGCCTAAGCACTATTTTGTGCTGACTTAGCATTTTTTTTTTTTGCTGACTGTTCATTCTGTAAACTAATTTCTAGGAGTGAAACGGTTCACCGCGGTATCGATGCACCGCGGTATTTTTTCTCGGTTTGATACACGGTGCAAAATCTCTAATTTTCGGTTTGGTTCATTTTTCAGTCGGGATCGTTATTCAGTCGGGTTTGGCATAAAGTATAACACGTTACTCAGTATAAATAAGTATAGAAAACGTAAATTTTTGATGACTGATAGCTTGTAAAATAATTTTTGACAGTCAAATAATTTTAATCAATTTCTTGTAGTCAATTTGCAAATAAAATTCGTAAAATATGTGACTAGATTTAGAAAAAGAAAGCATAAAACAACGTAGAATTTGTTTCCTTCTATCGAAATGTATCGTATCGAAAATAACCGAACCGAGACAAAATTATACAATACGTATCGAACCGTGAAGGAGGTGTATCGTTTCACCCCTACTAATTTCCTATTGTTTTGTGATGACTGACCATTTTATGAGGTGACTTGACATTGATATGAAGTGTCTTACCATTATTTTGCAATCTCTTTATTTTGCTCTGACTTCTCAAATTTTTAACTGATAAGTGATTTACCATTGCTTTGTGATGAGGTCATCTTTAAAATAATGTTTGCTTGCCCTCCCCTGACTCGGTAAAAAAAAATTGGGTCAGTAGGTAGGTGGGAAAATCTTTTTTTCTCAGAAAATTTCAACATATATGCTGAGGGAATAGGAAAATGCAGGAATAAAAAAAAGATCTTAATTCCTGGAGGTTGAAAAAAGTTTTGAGTCAGGCCATTTTTAGCCAGTCGGTCAGGAGAGGGCAACCAAACAATTTTTTTAAGAAGGCCTTACTGCCCTTTTTTGATGTCTTAACATTATGTTGTAATCGATATTTTGAGCTGACTTCTCATTTTTAAGGTGAAATACCATTGCTTTGAGGTGACTAACCACTATTTTGTAATGACTTGCTAATAATTGCAATGTCTTTCCATTGGTTAAGTTGACTTAATATTGATCACTGAAAACATACTACTGTTTTGAAACAAGTTTTTAATGATTTGCAACAAGTTTCCAATGTTTTGCAATAAGTTTAAAATGTTTTGCAATGAGTTTTTAATATTTTGCAATAAATTTCCAATGCTTTGCAATGAGTTTCCTATGTTTTTCAATGAGATTTTAATGGTTTGCAATGTGTTCCCTATCTTTTGCAATAAGTTTCCAATATTTTGCAATAAGATTCCAATGTTTTGCAATGAGTTTTCAATGTTTTGCAGCAAGGTTTTAATGTTCAGCAACAGCTTTCCAATGTTTTGCAATAAGTTTCTTATGTTTTGCAATGAATTTTCAATGTTTTGCAATAAGATCCCAATGTTTTTCAATCAGTTTTCAATGTTTTGCAATAAGTTTCTAATGTTTTGCAATGAATTTTCAATGTTTTGCAACAAGTTTTCAGTGTTCTACAACAACTTCCCAATGTTTTGCAATAGTTTTCCAATGTTTTGTAATGAGTTTCCTATGTTTTGCAATGAGTTTTCAATGGTTTGCAATGAGTTTCCACTGTTTTGCAATTAGTTCCCACTGTTTTGCAATTAGTTTTCAATGTTTTGCTATAAGTTTTCCAATGTTTTGCTATAAGTTTTTAATGTTTTGCAAAAGTTTTCAATGTTCTGCAATAACTTTCCAATGTTTTGCAATAAGTTTCCAATCATTTTCCTGTTTTTCAAAGAGTTTTCAATGTTTGCAATAAGTTCCCAGTGTTCTGCAATCAGTTTTCAATGTTTTGCAACAAGTTTCTAATGTTTTGCAATAAGCAAGGTTCGAAATTCACTATATACAACTCACAAAACGCGAGTTAGAATTCCAAAATTGCGAGTTAAAAATTAGGTAACTCGCAAAAACTTGTGAGTTGATTTTTTTTCTGCATTGAAACTGTAGCAAAATTACATAATATGACAGAACACAATGCTTTTGATTTGAATCAGTAATTTAAATAAAAGTCACACTGTAGTTGTATTTTGTGTATTGTACAGTAGTTACTTTTTCCTTAAGTTACATGTATTTAATTTATATAAATTTAACTTTATATGAAAATTGCGAGTAGTCTTATAAAATTGCGAGTTCACTTTCTTGGGACTCGCAATTATTTGCGAGTTGTAATTTTAGGGAGTTTCTAACCCTGTAATAAGTTTTCAGTGTTTTGCAATCAGTTTCCAATATTTTGCAATCAGTTTTCAATTTTTTGCAACAACTTACCACTACATAACCTCCACTGATTTGAGGTCAGGTGACTTACCATTGTTTCAGATTACTCGCTACTACATTGTAATTTGCATTGTTTCGAGATGACCAACCATTGTTTTAAGGTGACTTACCATTGTTTGGTTATATCATACATTAGGATCACTCCATGAGTTCCTTTATACACATCAATGAATTCAGCATCTAAGCTAGGTTCATCAGATTCCTAAAATATATTTGGTAACATTCTATGTATTATTTCATATTTTTATTTCAATCTAATGAAGACAAAAAAGTAATCTGAAGTTGTAGCTTATGATAAACGGTTTTCCTAATCTTTAAAGCATTGGGAACCTACATATAATAGCATTTTTAGAAAATAATTTTGCGACATACGTGTACATACATGTATACTGCAAAACAGTCCATTTCTTATTTTTTCGTTATCAATTATAATTTATATCATGGACTAAATCTTGTTTCTATATTACTGGTCAAAATGATGTATCTTCACAGTTATGGTGAATATTTAAGGATTTATTTGTACTTCTTCATAAGTGATACTAATCATGTTAATTACTAACTATGTACATGACATACTACTTACGAGTAATTTACGGTTATATTTATTATTAAAGGACTAATTACATTTTCATTGCTGAGTTTAATTCCATTCAGAACTCACTCATACTTCTTCATTATTGAGTTATAGTTCATTAAAGATTCACTCGTACCTCTCCATTACTGAGTTTTAGTTCAATGATTGATGGATTGATTGTATGTTGTTTAATGTCCCATTCAAGAATTTTTCACTCATATAGAGAGGTCACCATTTACCGGTGAAGGGCTTCAAATTTTGACCTTTACTCGGCACTCAAGGCCATTGAGCAGTGAGGGATCTTTATCGTACCAACGTCTGCCGCGACACGGGGCCTCAGTTTTTAAGGTCTCATCCGAAGGACCCACAACTTTCACTTCAAAGTGCCGAGCACATGGCGAAGGAACAGCTACCCATTTTTTACCGACTTAGGTCAGTTGCGGCCGAGATTCGAACTCACGACCTTCCGACCACGGAGGGAAGTTTTAGTTCAATAAGGACTCACTCATGCCTCTTCATTACTGAGATTTAGTCCATTAAGGACTGACTTGTACCTCTTCCTTACTGAATTTTAGTCAATTAATTACTGACTTGTACCTCTTCGTTACTCAGTTTTACTCCATTAAGGACTAATTTGTACCTCATCATTACTGAGTTTTAGTTCATTAAGGACTAACTCGTAGCTCTTCTTTCTGAGTTTTAGTCCATTAAGGACTAATTTGTACCTCTTCGTTACTGAGTTTTACTTTATTAAGGACTCACTCGTACCTCTTCATTACTAAGTTTTAGTCCATCCATTTTCTTCCTTTTCTTTCCCTTGTCTACGACATCCCATACCTCCACTTTGACCACGTCATCTGTGGTTTTGTAATTCCACTGGATACAGCAAACCTGTAACAGGCAGTTCATGGTAATGCAATTTGTTTATAATAATTAGCTTGCCAGACAAAAAAATATATTCAAAAATGGCTTATAATTATAGCTGTTGTTGGTTCCTTTCAATGCTAATTTTGCTCTTCTGTGTCACTTCCTTTGTTTGGCGGCAAAGTAACAATGACAGAATAATCACTCAAATTATTTACTTATTGTTTTATAGGTAATCAAAAATTCATTTACCTTAATAAATTCATATTAATACTAAACAAATCAATTTTTTTTTAATTCCAAAGTCTCCATATTCAACTTCTATATTATAACATATATATTACTTTCACTTTTGACTACAGTCACCGATTCATACATGTACATGCTTTCATTTACGATTAGTAAAAGCTATCTTTTTTAATTAGTGGTTTTCAGAAAGTAGTTAGAGAGTAAATTGTAAATTACAAATTTTTCTCATCAATTATGACTCTGGTTTTCAGTAAGTAGCAGGGTTGTCCCTAAGACCCAGGGGCCGGGAAACTTCACCACCTATAATGACATAAAACCCCGGTTATTCTCAGACTGGTATTCCTCTTCAAACCTCTATTAGGGTAGAAACCACAAAACCCCTTCTATTTTTTAAATGTCCCCTGCTAATTCATTTCTTACAGACAACCCTGAAGTAGGTAGAGAATAAATTGACAATTGACAAGTTTTTTCTCATCATTCCTGACTCTCTCCATCCCTGTTCACTGTATTCTGACATATTTCTTTTAAATGCTGGGGGAAGTCTTAAGGAAATGTTTATTATTTGTGGTAAATAGAAAACATAAATCTTTTTTGCCAATGACAATTTGTGCAATCTTTTTCATTAACTTACAAACTATCTTCAGAATGAAAAGAAACATGAAGTATCTTAAAATTTCACCAAGATAGTTTGACTGCTCTGAATTTCTTTAGTGGAGAGATATATAATTTTAATGACCCAGAGTTCTTCAGTGGGATGTTATTTGTTATCCAGGTCCAATCAAGGGTGTATGGGGATTTACCCAGGCTTGTATTCCATACAACAGGGTTAGTGGCCAAAATCAGGGATGTATGGAATACAACCCATGGTAAATCCCTGTACACCCCTTGATTGGACATGGAAAACAAATTTATTTCCTATGTAACCAAATAAATTCTTTGTAAACCTAAGTCCAATCAAAGGTGTTTTAAGCTATCTTTAAAGTTTACTATGTGCTACAATGCATCGATCGTGATGCCACAATATTTGCTCTTTGTTATATAGAAACCAAGCATTGTGACGTCATGCTATTTGCTTTTTGTGATAAAAAAAAACAAGCATTGTGACATCATGTTATTTACAAATATCGAGCCTGGTGTACAGAAATTTACACATGGCTTGCTAACCAATCAAATCTTTTGTTACAAGCTGCTTAAGAAATAAATGATTTTAATGACCTGATTTTGTCAGTGGGGAGATATAATTTGACTACTCTGAATTTCTTCAGCATGTTCAGTAGGGAGATATATATTTTTACTGACCTGAATTTCTTCAGTTTGGAGATTTATAATTTTACTGACCTAACTTTCTTATTGGATTTAACTGACCTGACCTTATTATTGGGGAGGTATAATTTAACTGACCTGACTTTCTTTTGGGGGAGTTAAATAATTTTACTGACCTGAATTTCATCAGTGGGGATGTATTCTTCGTGAAATTTCTGTCCTTGTAAACGATAAAACAGACAAGTCTTGCCTACTGTTCTATCTCCCCGGATCACTATTTTCACTGAAAAATAAAATACACTCATCAACCTGTAGGTTCTTTGATCCATCAATCCAGTAAGAGAGTTAAATCTGAGTTATATTACTCCTGTTAGTAACTTCCTGAATCTGTTAAATTTGATTCTGTTAAGCCACATCTCATTCTATCTTTTACAGATACTTGCTATTGTACTGGACTCCTTTGGCAAACTTTCTCTGCAGCTGGGCTCCCATTAGCTGCATTCCTGATGGTGTGTTCCCCTTAATGGGGCCCCCTTTTCCCCCATCAGGAGCACCAGTGTTTCCCAATAACTTCCTAAATATATTAGACATCTTCTCTGGATATCCTTAGCAACAAAAGCAGTCTGAAATTTTAAACATAGGTAATCAAAGATTACGAAGCTCACCTTGATGAATGTTGTCTTTAAGTAAGGCAAATTTCACATCATATTCTTTTTTTAGTTAGTGTACATCCCAAGATCAATATCCATGCAAGTTTGGTTTAAGTACAACTTATAGTTACTTGGAAATAGACCTGTTCAAAAAACGTTTATCCTGTTTACTACTCAAGAAAATTTTGGTCAGTTCCAACATCTAAAGTAAGTCTGGAAGTTTTCATCCTTAGATGCACCATCTAATAAATGCAAGTTTAATCATAACAGGCCATAATGTTATATAAATACTCCAAAAAAAATTATCCTGGTCACTCATCTGGAAAATGTAGGTCAGACTCAGAATCCAGAGCAAGTCTAGAAGTGACCATCCCTAGATACATCATCCATGCTAATTTGGTTAAAATGTGGCTAAAATTTACTCATGTGGAAAATTTAGGTTGAATCCAGCATCTTTTAAGAAATCTCATTCTGTTGGCTATCTTTAACCTGAAATCTGAAACATCTAGGTTAAATCCGGCAGTTACTATACACCAGCTTTTATTCGTGTGCGATAAATATCCACGAGTTACAAGACCTTCTTTAACTTGTGAATATTTATTGCCGCGAACCATTTATTTTGCTGTGTATTTGTAGAGAATGTTTCCTAGGTCGCGAAAAGTGATCGTTGTGGATTGATTTCAAACTGTCGAATCGCAAATAAAAGATGTTGCAAATAATAGTTGATTTACAGTAAATCAAGCAGTTAAATCCAGGTAGTGTGCATCCCTAAATGCATCATCCACACAAGTTTGGTCAACATAGTGCTTATAGTTACTTGGGAATGGACTTGCTCCTGAAACTTTTACCTGGTCACTCAACTGGATGATCCTGCATCTGAAGCAAGTCTGGTAGTGTACAATAAATGCAAGTTTGATCCAGGTTAGGCTTATAGTTATTTGGGAAAGGACTTCTCCAAAAACTTTAACAGGGATGCAGACACAGAGTGCATTTATGCAACACCCAACAGTCACGCAATACTAGATTTTGAGGACAGGGTAAAGCATAAGTTCATCTCAACTTCACTGAGTTGAGCTAAAAATCAAGGGTTGGAAGATAGGGATTTTTTGTTTTCTTGCTAATGGTTAATGTAGAATCTCACTCATGTTGCAGTTTGTATGTTAATTAACATATAATAAAGTATCCAATTAAAAGCATTAATTTTTGCTTTCGATAATTGCCATTAGATAAAGGGGTCAAACATCCCCAGACTGAAATAGCCAGGTGTGTATCAGTGACATTTAGGGGTATAAGCAAACTCAAAATTCATGGAAAAAATGCTACTTTATATACATGATATAATGATGATTATTAACTTTCAAAAAAGGTCAGTGTTAACTTAGTCGACATATTTTATATGTCAAATAAAGCTTCAGGTGAAATTACTGTTAAAAATTTCCATGATTACTTCAGGTGATAGGATTATTCACAAATTTAGCAAAAAAAAAAAACGTCTCTAATTTGAATAGGTCAATCAGGTTACAGGAAACAAAAACAATTTTTGGGCTTAATTCTAAAAATGTTTTATATGTTTTAATGCAGAAACTTCCACTATCAACCAGTTTACCATGTGCATCTATAAAGAGGTGAATTATATGATCCACTACAAAGCCTAAGTTCGTACAGACACAGGAGTTCGCAATTTTATCATGTTTATCAATAAAGTCAATATACATCACTCGATTAACCAAGCCATGAGCTATGCAATAGCATAGCGAATGTTCGCTATGCTAAGGTATAGCTCATGGCTTGGTTAATCGAGTGATTTCTATTGTCTTCATTGATAAAATTGCGAACTCCTGTGGTACAGAATATTGTACTTGTAGGCATAAATCGGGTGTGTGAAATATCCCTCACTTAGAAATGAAGTGTAGCATATCTATACTTATGCTTAGACTTAATACAGGGATAATGCATTACACATGTTTTCTTTGATTCTTGTTGATTGTCAACCACCGAGAAAACCAAATAAAAACCGAGGAAACTCGAGAATATCGACTACGTTGTTGTCAATTACCTGTCAATAAATGATTTCCAATTTTTGAAAGTAATGCCTTATATGAATAAAAATTCATCCTTGAAAAGTACGTATAGTCTTTTGTGGAGTTCGTGTGAAGAAAGAAAGAAAATCTGGTGGGTTGGACTCAGTGGTAAAAGCCAATCGTAACCACTCGGACATGTCCGTATATATAAATAATGTCTCTGAAAATAGCCGAGTAGTTTCGAATGTGGTGAAAGCAAATATTTGCATTTCGAACCCGATCTGTTTGTGCATCGTTCATAGGGATGATGCTCTCTCTCTCTCTCTCTCTCTCTCTCTCTCTCTCTCTCTCTCTAAGAATTTGCAATAGATTAAATATTTAAGCTGAAACAGAACTTTTTTTTCTTTTCTGAGGTGGATCTGTTGGGCCGTAATTTAATTGTTGGCCACCCAGCTTTCAGGTTCCCGCCCCTCCCCCGCCTAAAAATATTATCTACTGGGTACTAATTAATATTGGGAGGGGGGTTTTTCAAGAGTAGTGTAGCGGACAGTATATGATAGGGACTGAACTTGTATTGCCTCTCTGGTGAGCTAGTTTTTCTAGTGATGCGGTATACTGAGTCTTCTCGATTTCAGGCAATTAATTAAGTTATTCATGCAACAGCCCTATATATAGCCCTTGGATGGGTGACCGCTTCACGTTACAAAAATGGTGACAGCGAAGTGGATCTGGTGTTTGTCAACCTGCTTCAGCAAGCCTTAGATCTAGGACTAAGTGTCCTTTAAGGTCATAAGCAATATGGACATGTACATGTACTTTACAATGTATATCCTTCCCACTGATAATTTTCCAAGATATTTTCTTAATTCAAACCAATAGTACCATCAGATGTTCAAAGACAAAGAATCGGCATATATTTCCAGAATTTTTGAACAGATATCAAGTGATGAAAATCCACGTTTTTTTTTAAAGAAAAATGAACAAAAATATAGTTTTAGCTGGTATTTCCTCAAAATTTGATTCAGAAGAGGTGTGGAGCATTAACAGGCATCATAAAATTAATCGCACAAAGGTAATAAATTCAGTTACTGGAACTGAAAAATTACGTTGCGAATGTCCTTCCAGATTAATATCTATAGACAGCATGGGTTGCCGCTACTGAAAAGGTCCCCAGGCCCGTATAACGCGGGGGGAGGGGGGAGAGAATTTTTTCTGATTATAGTATTTTGCTATCGTAAATTTTCTTTCAGATGCTGGTTGCCCCCCCCCCCCCCCACACACACACACCGGCACACATACAGACACACACACTTTTTGACGTTGTAAGATCGAGTACTGTCAAACTCTAGGATTTGTACAGTAAATTTTCGGAAGCGTATTAATGCCACGTAATATTTTTTCTTAAAGTTGGTAATTCCAACTTTAAAGTTAACTTTCCAACTTTAATCTTGGCTTAAAGTTGGAAAAGCCAAGATTAAAGTTGAAAAAGCCAACTTTAATGTTGGAAAAGCCAAGATTAAAGTTGGAATTACCAACTTTAAAAAAAAATTACGTGGTACTATACGCTTCCGTAGTAAATTAGTTTTCTTTTTTTTTATGCTTGTCAGATAATTTTGGGAAGTCCCCCCCCCCCAACTTCTGGTCTTTTTTTTTTTTTTTTGAATTGTCAGGGTTTTGTTTTTTTTTTGGAAGTTGCCCCCCCCCCCCAAACACTTGCTACGGGCCTGGGACCCAGACCTGCTCCATGAAGGTCTAGGAGTAGGACTTTGTGTCCATATATGGACTTAGTGTCCATGCCCGGCATTAAATTAGTCTCCGTGGACGGCATTGGTTGCCGTTACTAAAAGGCCCATGACACTGAAGTGAGTGGATTACCCATGTTAAAGCAGCGGTCGAAGCTGCCTGAGCGAGGAAAGTGTAACGGACAGTATCAGTTACTAGATAGGGAACTAGTGAGCTGGCTATACTAGTGATGCGGTAGAGTTTTCCTCGACTTCAGGCAAGTTAAGCATCGGCGAGCCTGTAAAGCCCTTAGATGGGTGACCGTTGTTAATTTAAAATGGAAATTTTCATAAGAGGTGGTTGCCTCCCCCAGTCCTCTTTTTGTTGCAAAATGATCAAGTGCTCCCACGTTGTATTTTTAAAAATGTCGAAAAATAAGAAATTCGGTACTAGGCACTTTTTTTTTGCTTGTCATTAAGTTTACCCCCCCCCCCCCTAAAACAATGCTTCAAAATATACGTAAAAAGAACGAGGGCGCTTTTGATTGGGATTAGGCAGGAATCTGAGCGCACTTGGAAGTTTCATTGATCCTTAACTTGATATTTTAGCATTCTATTGATAATGTTGATATACCGAGTTCATGTAACATAGAAAAGAGTAGTATTCCCGGTATTGGGTTTTGATTTGCTAAAATATGGTATGAAATGTGGCTAGATGAGTTATTTGGTTCAAAATGTTACATTCTTCAAATATGCACGTTATTCTATAAATTTGCTATACATGTATATCCATGGATCATTTCTCCACAATTTGTAAACGTTATTTGTGTGCATTTTATCTCAAAAAACAAAAAACAAAAAAAAAACAGCAAAACTTTCTAAAAAAAATGGTGAGAATACCCAGAAACCATGAAAAATTAACTTTTTCAAAAAAAAAAACAACACATTTTGATAATTCATGCATTGTTTCATTGTCATTTTAAAACATCAAGTTAGTATGTTGTGAAGATAGCTCTGTGGAATGTTACTTGTCTATGACAGTGAGGTATCCTTGGGACGCATAAAGTGTTGAAGCCAAAAAAGTCAAATACTGCAGTGCTGAGCATTTTCATGCCATATTGAAAAGGGGAATAACTCAATTTTCTTGTTTTCAAGCTAAGAAAAGACAATGGAGTTACTCCTCTTTTCAAATATATTTTTTTAAAAATTCTATTCGATACTCAATAAATTTCTTTATAAAAAAAATGTTATCAATAAGTTTATAAAAGCTTGAAAAATATTTATTTTAAGCTTATGGAGTATCACATAATACATGTATCAGAGTACAAGAAGGTAAGATTCACATTATATCAGCATTTGTTGACATTAAAAAAAATCCCATAACTTTTGCTTAAAATAAATAAATAATAATAATGAGTAAAGTGGCATTGTGAGGGAATTCACTAAATAATACCTCCTGCTACATTTTTAATGTCCATTCACAATTTTGTAATTGTGACCTTAAGCTTGCCAAAATGACCTTGGTTAAAAATTGACAAATCCTCTTGTCACATGTTATCTTTGAGTGAAATATGGACATCCAATGTTTCTCCATTAGAAAATTATGGACCTGAAATTTTTTTATACACTTTTTCTGCCAGTGACCTTGAACTTGCCACAATGACCTTGGATCAAGCTTTTGAGATACTTTTAGCTCACAAAAAATTTTCTTTGACTTCGTGTGATTTACAAGTAATATTAGTGTGAAGTATGAATTTTGAATGTTTATCCTTTAGAAAGTTATACACGTTATACACCAGACACATATTTAACACATTTTCTGCCAGTGACCTTGAACATGATCTTGCATGAGATACACATTGAAATCTTTATGTCAAGTATCAACTTCTAGCCATTTGACAGTTATAAACAAAAAAATCCCACTTTTTTTGCCATTGACCTTGAACTTGATTCGTACATGCACGTCAAATGTGCCCATCCTCATTTTGCCCTCCCTCTGCCCTTGGAAAACAATTACATTGAACATTCTTGATCATGCTTACATGAGCATACATGTACTAAATTAATTCAGATCAATTTGAAGCCCTGTAATGCAAAGATATTTCCAATTTATTTCTATGTAAAAAATTCATCTTTTGTGTCAATAATGCAACAAATTGAACAAGTAAGAGAGCTCATGCCAAGTATTTTAATTTTTTTAAAACAAGTTCACATATATATTCTGTTGCATGTTCACAGTAAAGAGTTGCTTTTTCAAACCTTCTCCATCATGTACGTGAGTATGTTCTCTACTAAATGCTTAATTTGCATATTTTCTGTAAATATAATTATACTGATACATGTATATACATAATAAATACATCATTTACATGTGCATGTATATAAAATCCCAGATAAGTCCCTGCTCGATCATTCTCTGTGTATCACTAAAATCCATCCTGGATTTCAATCATAAATGAAACATGTATTCATATGTTATGTACAAATTTTGAAATATATAAAAATGTTTATTTCATTGCCAATTTCAGATATACATGTAGTCATATTTCAATCACTGAAATGAGATGATTGGATGATAACTATATGTTGATATCTCTCTCTCTCTACTGTCAGTCTTCATCAACGTCCATACCCTCAGACTTGGTTTTAGATTTTCTCCTCTGTTTTTTGCCAGACTCATCCCCCATGTCAACTGTAAAAGTAAGTATGTTATATATATCTTAGTCGGCTTCATAATACCATATCTTTAAATGTATTTTTCTCAAGATACTGAGCAGACATTTCCAATTATATATATATAACCAGTGATCTGAGTCACGACCTTCACCTTCTGACTTGAAAATCCTTGAGGGGTACCACAACCTCCCTGGCAGAGTTGTCATTCATTTCTCTCTCAGACACCTCTGCAATTGGCTTGTGTCTCGTTTTTTGATATAAAGACTATAAAACTTGATATTCCAAGGATTTTTTTCAAATTTATCTAATAGTTATAGATCTACTTAGAAAATATCTACCACAAAGACAAACAATAGTGCAAGTATTTCATTACAGTGAATTAAAACAAATGCACAATTTCTTGTGTTTATCACTGTGATACACGCAAGCCAAAGACAGAGTTGAATGTATGAGCTGATGGGTAGAGAGTAGGAGTACCAGTGTACCAAGTTTGATCTCTGTCAAGCAGATGGTTCTCAAGATAATGAGCAGATTACTTTGTCCCTTGACCTTTAACCTTGTAACCTTAAAATCGATAAGGGTCATCTGCTTCCTAGAGGTGTTCATCTACTCCTGGGGCACCAGTGTACCAAGTTTGATGTCTCTCAAACAAAGGGTTCTAAAGATATTAAGCAGACAACTCTTTGTTTACCGACAGACTGACCCTCATACTGACAGGTGCAAACCAATATGCCCCCTTTTTAAATAATAATTGTTAAAATTGCCAATCCTAGAATAACACAAATGTATATTGGTAGAAGAGGGTTTGACCAATGGCATCCTTAAATATTAAAAGTCTCCTCTTTCATTCTGATCGTTTATAACCCAGGGCACCCTTAGATGATTATCATACTGATCATTCCTTATCTTACCATCTTCTCTTTCTTCAGTCTCTCTTTTCTTTCCATGTTTCAGTCGCTTCAGTACTTTTCTCTTCCTCTTCCCACTAACTTTTATCCTGGCACTTTTTGTATGAACTCTGAAGACCCAAAGTGTTCAAGGAAAATATGAGAACAAATGCCTCAAATATATAAATATGTACTAATACTTTAATCCTTAGTAAACTAGAGACTTCCCTAACAGAAAAAAGTGGGGGGAAAACTAATCAAAACTCATTAGTGGATTATAAAAGATCTATAAGTCACCTCTAAGTTCTGAGATTCACTAATATTAGTGAACTATAAGACATCTTAGAAAGTATAAGTGAGGAACAGGCTTCTCTTAATGGGGCCATTTCTAAGTTATTTTGGTATCCCCCCTTAACCCCCCTAAACTCTCCATTTGATGTATCGAGGTACGTAGGTATGTGTTTTTCCTACAAGTTACAACAATACAATTTTTTTTTGTAATGTGGTATATACCAGTATATTGTTAAACCCCTGGTATATTTAAGACATAAGTCATGAATATATATATAATATAAATGTGCCATTTTCCCCTACATATCTTCCCTTAATGAAACCAGGTTTGAATATATCTGAAATAGATTTTAAAGTAGACTTTATTCAGTATTAATTTAGACATCCTGATATAAGTTTACATTTAGGACATTTAATAAAGTTATTGGATGCCAATTCTTCAAAAACTGTCTTGGTTTATCACGTTTGAAATTGGAAGTTAAAAATTCAATTATAACTAGAACTGTCCAAAAGGGACAAATACCCCCCGCTGGGTTTTTTTAGAGAAGGTGCCAAATTACTAATACATGTACTTTATGGATCTAAGTGGTTATATTCACAATTTTCTTATAAACATTTAGAGTAAAAATATAATTGCTCATTATATTTTTTAAATGAATGAAACTAAGGTGCAACCTAACAAAATAGCAACACTAATACATTGTAATTACTTTGTTTTTTAATACATTGCAACTATCTTTCATCTTTGTGGGACTTGACACTGAAATTGATTGTTGGAAAAAAAAACCAACATACATGTATTATACAAAATCAAATTAATCTTGATAACTTTATATCAAATTTATTTTAAAAATAAAAGGCTGGTCAGTACTTTGACAGACAATAAATTACAATTAAGAGAATTAGAGAACAGAAATCTTTAATTCTTTTGCCAAATTCCCAGGAGATATAGATAACACCTGCTTGATCAGAGATGCCCTAACAACTTCCCACACTGAACTCATTAATTAATCTTTAACTGGATGCATGTCCACTCATTACTCCCAAAGGACAAATAGATTTACACTATCTGCTGTGTAATGTAAAAACTGTTTTTAATACCTGATGATGTTTTTTTTTTAGTTTTAATGAGTAGTTTTAAGCTGTAGTTCACATTTTTGTACACTTCAGATGTTCTAGATTCCTTAGACATTTATAAACCCATAATGACTAAGCCAATAAAAATGAAAAAAAAAAAATCTGTAAAATGCAGAAAAATTATCAAATAATGTTGAAAATACCAGGTGTACATCTTCATATGGTAAATAATGAGTGTACAAATTTTCATACAAATCTATGCAATAGCCTCTGAGAACAGGTCCGGACAAAACCACACAATAAAAATGAAAAAAAACACCTGTAAAATGCAGAAAAATTATCCAATCATGATGAAAAAACCAGGTGCACACCTTCATATGGTGAATAATAAGTGTACAAATTTTCAGACAAATCCTTGCAATAGTTTCCGAGAAACGGCCTGGACAAAATCTTGTCTACAGACAGACGGACAGACAGACGGACAGACAGACGGACATGGTGATTCCAATATACCCCCCCTAAACTTCGTTTGCGGGAGGTATAATTATTGCTTTTAGAATAAAAAGGAGGATCAATAACTGACTTGACATGTTTCTTCTGTTTATTGCTGAGATACTCTGTCCCAGGGATGTTCTTTAAATCTGGTTTCTGTTGTTTCTTTTTCACAACAGATGCTTGATGCTTGGCTTTAGAGCTCACCAATCTACTTTTTTTGGTCTACAAATAAAATTAGGAACAAGTCATGATGGTTTCAAAATAATTTAGTAATTTCTAGTTCTACCTACAGTATACAGTCAACTGTTCTAATTAACACCTTTGGATAAGTCTCTCCATGTAGATACACAGCATATATATATATATATATATATATATATATATATATATATATATATATATATATATATATATATATATATATATATATATATATACCATTCATATTTTTATCCTCCTAGATCAGCAACATAAGAAAACAAAGTGTCTGCATTTTGTACAATAAAATGCATAAAGATGCACAGCAAAATGCTTGAGGTGTCAGGCAATATCCCGGTAATTAAGGTTTGATTTTAGCATGATGTGAAACAGGAAAGCAATTTTCTCATCCTCGGATAGAAATGGATTCTGCTCTAAATGCATCAATTGATTTATACAAACTGACAATTTCTAGGTGATAAAATATGAAAACACAATTCACATTTGGCAAGATTTTTTTTTAATGGTTGACCAGTTATAGTGGTAACCCACACTTAATTAAAGGCAAAGATTTTTTTACGAGGTGAAAAATCTCAGGTGAGTCTACCTGCGGTCGAGTACTCTGTTAATCCCTATACACAGGAAGTGACTTAATTCACAGTAAAGATTCATGCTGTGGTTGAACTTTACCTGAATTGGATTAATTTTGTAATGTCACTGGGCAATTTTAAAATAATAGTAAAATATTGGAAATGAATTATTCCTATTGTTTTGAATTACAATGATTTGTGTTTGTATCAGATTCGTATTTTTTTTTATGCAAGATTTCACCATAAAGTTTTATAAAAATAATTTGATGAGTAGAGGATGTTAGCCATTGGACAATTATGCATTTATTTTTAATAACAAGGAAATGCATTATTGACTGATGTGGTTCCTTTCGTATTGTGGTGGATTTTAATTTTACTATATAGCAATCATCTTTCCACACCCTACAATGGCCATTATCCAGAACTTCTTAAAGAGCTTTATTTAATTTGATTTTTTTTCGGGACAATGCAAACATGTAGGGATTCTCTGACTAACATGTAGGGATTCTCTGACAAACATGTAGGGATTTTCTGACTAACATGTAGGGATTCTCTGACTAACATGTAGGGATTCTCTGACTTACATGTAGGGATTCTCTGACTAACATGTAGGGATTCTCTGACCAACATGTAGGGATTCTCTGACTAATATGTAGAGATTCTCTGACTAACATGTAGGGATTCTCTGACCAACATGTAGGGATTCTCTGACTAACATGTAGCTCTGACCAACATGTAAGGATTCTCTGACCAACATGTAGGGATTCTCTGACTAACATGTAGGATTCTCTGACTAACATGTAGGGATTCTCTGATTAACATGTAGGGATTCTCAAACTAACAAAGTCATCTTTGACGCCCTTGTGTTCCCAAGTACTGAATCAGACTTTCTTGAAACCATATTACAGTCATTATGGCCGCTGATATCAGATAAGTTTATCTGTATTTTTCTCTCCATGTCTGGAAAAGTGACATGTAAAGTGACTTGTAAATTTTCAGTCGAATAACATCTAGATTTATTTACAAATAATAAATAATGTAATGACATATAATGACGATTTCAATGAGGGTCTGCACTTTCAGTTTGGTTTAAAATCGATGTACGTGAAAAATTTGGTGTAAACACTATATAATGATCAATTATACTTTGAATTGAAATTGACTTTTAAAAAAATTATAGCCTACGCCTGATTTATCATCAGCAATTATATTATTAAACAAAATGATTTTACATGCTACAATATTTTAACAAGCTAAAAAATTTTCTTATCGGTACAGTGTCTTTCTAGCACTGGTATAATGCAGTAATCATCAAAAGATCGAAAGTTAATTTGACAACCTAACACTGTGAGTAACACAAGCCCCAGACAAGCTAGGTACCTAGGGATAAACAAGGTTACTATACACGGATACTAATTTGGAACTAAATGTCAGTCAATTTCTATCACCCAATCCTGAACCTTCATTCGCTTGATTGACAGGGGTTCCAAGACCAGGTTGGAGAAGGTGCTTATTTTTTCTGCCTTTAAGCAGTCTAGACGAACTCCAAAAACAGCATGAACTCCGAAAATGAAGTCTTTGGCTCCATCATGCATTGCGGCAAAATGGCGTCCGATGTAAACAAATGATGGATTGTCGTTCGTTTCTCCAAATATACGGCAGCATAATGGCTGTATTTAGTGCATCGTTATTTCATTTTATTTTTTGTTGAATGGATAATTGCATTTATTAAATTATTTTGTGGATATTGACTTATTTATTGCTTCAAACTCTTGCATAATAGTGAATTGGATATACGACATCGAATTCAATACTGCCGGTAAGAAATATTTTCTTATTTAATTTATTGTCTCCTTGATTTAAATTTTATGTCATTCCTACAATAAAGGTGCTTTTATTTGTTTTTGAAGACACCCAGCTTGTATTTATTTTAATCAGAAAATGCGCATTTTTCACCACGGAGCAGAGATGTTGTGCCCTTTTAGAAGAGTGTTTTTTTAAAGTTTTCATATTAATAGGTAACGGTTTTAAAAATGTTTTCATAATAACATCTGTTCGTATGTGATAAAAAATCGGTAAATAACAATGGTAAGAACTTACGCGTTCAATCCCGATGTTGTACACAAATAAAAAACCGGAATGCTAACTTATGTGTAAAATTCAGTCAAGTTTTTTACAGTTACAATATATATGTCCCATTTTGCATATATATCCCTTTTATTATGCATATTTCCTTCTCAAAACGTATCATTTTCTCTGTAATTGATCTGACTTGAAACGTTAATTTTGAAAGTAAATATCTCCTTTTTTGCAAATAAAATCAAAAATCTGACAAATACGATCTCTTCTGAAGTCTTTTATTTAGCATTTCTGAGTACTGGCATAATTGCCATACCCTTCAAAACTTTGCACGGACAGTTTTTGTAGACCCATCATTTTTGCTGAAAAATCGCCATTTTTTGTGTTTGTGCGCATGCGCGGACTCTATTTTCGGAGTCTTTTTCAGTCTCAATTTCTTACTTCCGGAAACGCTGCTTTTGGAGTTCATCTAGACTGTTAAGATTGTCTACTATATTAAATCACATTTTATTTGTGAGAACTTAATTTTAGTGTAATTATGCAAATCCTAGTGTCTTCTTTGGTATGCTTTCTCTTACATAGCCATAGCAAGTATATCAAAAAAAAAAAACGTCTGAGACTCAAGCTGAGTAATATCGCACATATATATATTTAAAAAAATATTATGTATCATTTAATTTTAATAATTCACATTCAAACAAAATCAACCCATTTTTAAAAATATGTAGATTCTAGATCTACTGCTAAAAAAAAAATCCAAATCAAAAGCAACCAAAAGACATTTAAAATGGCATTGAAAGGTTTTGATCTTGGAAAGAGAGAGAGAAACTCAAGGAGATCTAGTAATATTCAGTGATATACTAATATTACATATGTGTACCTTCCATGTGGTCTTCATAATTTCAAACCAGAAACAATCCGAGCGTTGTAAAATTTAAAACCCATAGCGAATAAACGTCCGAGTTGACTTTCACCTTTGACTGTTTTAAAACAAGTTTAATTGAGTGACCTATTTTTCGTTTTCTAGACAGACTAGATCTGATATTGAGTTTATATGGATTGGTACATCATGATTTTTAAAGTCTAGCACAAATCTGATATTAACATGATTAAGTTAAATTTCGGGGAAAAGTTAATAGCGATTCTCTGTAACCACTTAAACTTTTTTGCCACGCATGGTCACCGATTTCGATGAAACTTTGCCCATTATTACAACTTGACACCAGAAACATATATCAAATAAAATTTCGTTGCTATATGTCTTGGTTGCCATGGTAACAGCCAGAAAAGTTGAAAAAATTGAGATTTTCAGCTACTTTAAATCTTTATTAAGTCTTAATAAAGACTAAGAAAAACAAACAAACCATTCTCCCAAAAACATGACACCTTGTTGCCACTTATGCTATAAAGAAACTACATGTATTTAGAATTAATCTCTAAGTAAGTGGTAACCATGGGTACATTTGGAATACATTTTAGATGCTGAAAAATGCTGAAAAACGCTCTATAGTCACAAATGATAGATGTTACACGATCAAACTCAATCAACAACGTAAGAAAAACAATGAAAAATATTTGACCTCATGTAATTAGGTATTGGCAATATTATTCTAAAAATAACTTTCATGGTTGCCATGGTAACGCAGTGTCACCATGCAAAATCTGTTGCTATGATTGGGTTAATGCTACTACCTTGAGGAAATACAATAAAATTCATGACTGGCACATATACATCCTTAGGACCTTGCAACACCGACAACATAAGAAAAATTGAGATTAATTGTTACTTTGCAGTGTAACCATGGAAACATCGTACTAGTTGTTTAAAGGGATATTTTTTTGCTGCTTTGGGTATTTACTAACCTTTTAATCAAGAAAAATATTATTTGAATCACCTTGAATAGTTCTTATCTCGTAGAACTAAAGTTGAATATCATATATTGATAAAGGTTATTGAAAAATACAACACTGTTGCTATGGTTACCAAGAAGAGAAAATGTTCGATTTTGTTAATTTTTTGTCAATATTAGACCCTATGTGCCAGCTTTTTGCATCCAGTTAGAGATTGGGTGATAGTCAAAATTGAAAGTCAGGTTAGTTGTTCACATATATCAATCATTAAAGTTTTGGGAATCTACATACAACTGTACGTATCCAAGGAAACAGAGTATTTTTCAGATTTTTATGCATGTTTTTTCGCCTTATTTCCATAGCAACGCACAATTTAAAGAATTGGAATTGAATTTTTTGAAATGTGAAAATTAGGGTCACACCAAGGCCTTTAAAAATTGATCATCAGTTATATAGAAATATGCTTTTTAAAAAGATAGGATAAGATTAAAACACTAAGAGAGTAAATTTAAAATCCCTTCGTGGTATTAAAACCATGGCAACCATTGCCAACTTATAAGAAATATCATATTTTGTCCTTGGTATATGTTACAAGGATCTCTTCTCTATTAATTGCTTGCATTTCAACCTATAATTGTTTTTATTCTTAAGTGTATGACTTTATAAAATTAAATGAACAAAATTATTACTTTTGAATACTTTGTTTCCATAGTAACGTTTGTTATAGATGATTTACTAAACATGTTTATCATGCATTTAAGACACCAGGCCTTCAACTTTCAGAAACAGTCATTGCCACTTGTTTGCTTTGCTGCAAATGTTAACTGTGGGACTCTGAAGATGTTGAAAAATGCCATTTTTCAAACTTTAGGACATGTTGCTATGGTAACCATGACACGTAGCAACCAATTTTTGCCTGATTTGAGTTTACGGTATCAAAGACTTTTATCACAGAGAGTTTGGAGAAATTCTGTGACTATGCGTGCCACAGCTCCTATATAAAAGTTCAAGTCATTACAGAGAATGGCTCTTAATCGTTTAATACGGAAGTTAATTGTTATGGAAGTTAATTTTCAGCGATAAAAATTGAAATTTATAATTAGGAATTTTAACTAAAGTTTAAAATGTCAATTAAACACATGAAGTATTTCGCTTCCAAAATTAATAGAACATTTTATAGGCCTACCTTCAATGCAAAAACCGCTTTTGAAGTTAAATTCTTAAATGAGACACAATCGTTTTACGATAACAGGACCAATTTAGGGTATAAAACACGAAAAAAAAACTATTGTTTCAAATAGCAAATTGAACATTAAAATTCTCTACAGGACATATCAGTGAACTTGAAAAAAAAAGAATTGTCCACAAATCTGGTATAGTTAACTTTTTACAACAATTTCAATTTACCATTGATTTTAAGGTATAATGTTAGCTTTTTTCTAATTTTTCGTTCTCCGATGTTCAGTATAGAACGCTGAAGGATGATTCTTGAAGTTTGGCATGAATCCGATATCAAGTTAAAGCTTCGGTAAAAATATCGTTACGGAAGTTAACTTTCACCAATAGAAATTGAAATTCTCGGCAATAGTTAAAATTAAAGTTTGTTTTAAGATTTTAAACAAAAGTATGAAGCATTTTGCTCCCAAAATAATAAAAAATGTTTATACCTTTAATGCAAAAACATTCCCGAATTACCGTTACGGAAGTTAATTTTTTAAGAGAGACAACTGTCTAATTCGAAAATGTAATCGTCTAAAATAGCTCACTCGCAACTAGAATCGATAATATTAGGTTCCATGGTCACTTTCAGATAATTCTTTCAGTTCTTTTTGAAATCTGCATTCTGTGCGTTTAATTTAAAACAAAATCGTTACGGAAGTTAATTGATTTTCAGCGACATGCAATGATTTCGTATGAAAGAAGAGCCATGCATTTCTTTGCGAGAAGTGGTTTGTTTTTCTTTTTATATAGAAAAAAAAAATAACTTTTTTTAAAATTCATTGCAATCTATTTGGAACGCTTATACGGCTGAAAATTTCATCTTGAAATTCATAAATGAATGAAGCGACATTAAGATTTGCAGGGGAATACGTTTTTCAACATTATATTGTGTCCATATCAGAACTTTAAATGCATATATATCGGTATATATTTACAAAAGCATGTATGCATGTTAAGTCTTAGAGTTGATCGAAATCGATCTTTAAAATTATAGTTAAGATATTACAACGGTAAATTTGTAAGTGACATAAAAAATTCTTAATTGGACATGACTGGACAGTATTTTTGTTTAATTCAATTGCCGAAAATGTAATTGTCTTATTTATCCGACTGGAATCTACAATCGATCATATTAGGTTCCTTGGTCACTTTCAGGTAAGTTCCAGTTCATTATCAGATCTGTTTTACCATTTTTTTTTTTTTTTTTTTTTTTGGTGAAGCTCATAAAATTTTAATAGAGTTTCTAAGAGATAGTTGCACTTTCCTTGGAAGCCCAATATCCAATAGTAAGGAATTAAATACAATATTGTTATGTATTAAATCACTTATATATAAAGCTGAATGTCGTAATGAGGTTTTTACTTAACAAGGATTGCTTGGAGACATTAAAACAATTATTATCTACATTGAAATATATTATAGTGCAACAAAAATAATCAAATTAATGAGTTTAAAAATAAATGGAGAGATTGGCTAACACTTGTGTAAGACCCTGAAATCAAGCCCCGGGATCACTTTTTTGTTTTTTCTATGTGTTGGAGAGGACAATCTAAGTTGGAATGACTTGTGTCCAATCCCATTGATTATGTATCAATAAAATATGTTTAAATCAACATCTTATTAAGCTTAAGTCAAAATCTTAAGGTTGTACTAAATTTTTGTAGAAGTCAAGCAGAACAAAATTAAGATATTTTTCAGTATTGCTTTACAAAAGTGTTATCTGCAAATTTAAAATCAATTCAATAATTAATAGACATTTTACAGGCGATTAAAAATTTGACATAAGTCTAAGTCTGTTTCATGATCCTGGGGCCAGGCACTTAAAACCATCTTGCAATTCTTGGATACACTCTTACCGTGCTATACCTCAAATATCTTCCTTTCCTGCCCTTTCTTTCTCCCTCTTTCTCTCTCTTCTCTTTTTCAGTCTCTCCATCCCTCTTTATCTCTGTATTGTTGCTATTTCAAAATTTTTATAGTGTTTATTATATTCACAAACAATATATATTTTATGCCATATTATAAATACGCTCTAAGTTGATATCAATAATATAAAAAAACAAAACTTATGATTGCCTAATTTGACCCATCCTACCCCTTTGAGTCAGGATTTGAACAAACTTGAATCTTCACTACCTGAGGATGCTTCTAATAATATATATATATTTTTTTTTTTTTTTTTGAGAACAAGATTTTAAAAGATTTTTTTTAAAATAAATATTCCCATATAAAACATTGATCCCATATTGTTAACTCTATTCCTAGGGGGTCATAATATGATTTTCAAAAGTGCACATTTTTTATATTCACGTGCACTGATTCGTAATTATCTACCCTTGTAAAATGGCGTGATAACTTAAATCCCCTTCACCCAATGATGCAGATTTGCGGCAAGTTTGGTAGAAATTGGCCCAGTAATTCTTGAGAAGAAGATGAAATTGTGAAAACGATGTTAATTGACAACGACAGATGACTGACAAATATTGATGAGAAAGCTTACTTGAGCTTTTCCTTTGGCTCGGGTGAGCTAAATGGAAAAAAAAGAATATTAATTATTTTTGCTGTACAAGTTTATCGTATGCAGTATTATAACATCTTTAGAAGAAATTCAGGTGTGACGCTGAGGACATTCCCATGCGCGGATCTAGAGGGGTTCCTGACCCCCCCCCCCCCCCGAAAACGTGGACCCCACAATCACCACCACGAAATAGGTGTTTTTCACGGTTTGGAAATGGATTTTATTTTTTTTTTTATTATTATTTTTTATTTTTTGTTTTGTTTTGTTTTGTTTTTTTTTTTTTTTTTGTTTTTTTTTTTTTGCTTGTCAAGAAATTTTCTGGA